GGGGGGGGGGGGGGGGGGGGGGGGGGGGGAGGGAAGATGGAGGGAAGTGGATGCTCCTCCTGTGGAGGCACTAACGAGCACCCCGCATTTTAGCCTATGGCCTACTCTCGTGTTTACTCGTTACACATCCTGCTTCGTTCTTGGATTACAAGAGCTACATAAGGGAAAACGTTTGGCTTTTTTTTGGTATCGAGTTGCGGAACTTGCTCTAAAGACCTATCTCATTCCGGAGAACCGGGCGGTTGAAAGCGAGCCGAGATTGGGTCACAGTAAAATTCGTGTTGGATAGGGAGCACATAGCAGCGGTGTGTTGCGTGGCCAGCGGACGTGGCGGCTCCCTGGCGGCCAGCGGCGGCGAGGACGGAAGGATCATCCTCACCCAGATCCCGTCGGGCATGGTGGAGGCCCGATTGGACCATCATCGGGGTGGCATCTTGCACCTGGAGATCGATCCGCAGAACGATATACTCGTGGCGGGGTCTGCGGATCAGACGCTGTCCATCTGGTCGCTGGACACGTCTTTCCATCTGCTCAATGACGTCTCGTTGAACGCGGAGCTCGTCTCCCTTGCCGTGTCCCCCGACTCCATCTTCCTATTGGCTGCCTGCTCCGATGACGTCATCTATGTCGTCTCCCTCGCCACGGGCACCTTCGTCCGGACGCTGCATAAGATCACCACCTCTCACGTAACGCGCACGCTTTTTCTGTAATCTGTCATCGCTGCGTGTGTTATCTAAGTTTGCTATTCTTGGGGATTAGATTACAGGGATTTATGCGGCCGAGGACAGCAAGCGAGCTGCAATCTGCTACCAAAACGGACTGGTGGGAATCTTCGACTATGTTTCTGGGAAGGAAGTGGAGATTTCCTCCAGTGGGGTCCCGACTGCTTCGTCCGTTTGTGGAACCGCAGGAGACAAGTTCCTCTTCATTGCAGGTGATCGTTCGGTCCAGGCTCGTATGCGGACGTGGAATGAAGTCCACGAAGGAAGGAAGAGAGGCTTTTGCAGGACGATGAATAATGTACACAAAGCATGGATAAAGTGAAACAGGTGGAATCGATAACGGTTCATTTATAATGCAGATCTGAACAGGAGCACTCTCTTGAAGCGTTTTTCTATTGATCGCCTGGATCATTCGAGGAATTCGGCTGATGGAATTTCTTTTTTTCTGTCTTCGTATAAGGAGGAAACGGGGTGAGTATATTGAGTTTCGTGCCGCCCGGAGAGACGGCTCATTCCCAAGAGGTTACGTGCATCGACATGACTTCGGATGGCTCCTTACTCGTTTCGGGTCAGTTTACTCCGATATTCCTTTGTGATTGAGGATGTCGCCGATTTTCATCGATGAATCGAACGGGTGTAGGTTCCAAGGACGGTCAGTTGAAGGTGTGGAGATGGCCCGGAGGCGATCACCACTCCACGCTGGTGGGGCACGGAAAAGCGGTGAACTGCGTGTCCTTCGCCCCCAACGCCCTGTTCCTCGTCTCGGGCTCCCTGGACCACTCCATCCGGGTGTGGAGCCTCACGCTGGGCCTCCACGTCCGGGTGATGAAGGCCCACGAGAACAGCGTGGAGGCCGTGAAGGTGTTCCCCGACAGCCGGCGGGTGGTGTCCGCGGACAACTCGGGCACGGTGATCATCTGGCGGTCGGACACCCTCACGCAGCTGGCTTCCTTCAGGGCTCTGCATCTGCAGCTCGGGGTGACCAAAGACGCCAGATACGTCGTCTGCTCCTCCCTCGATTCCAGGTCTGCCGTCTTTCCACTGCGTCCATAATCGTTTGCGATGGGATTTTCCCTGCCCAAGCTTCACTCTGATACTCATAAGTTTTTCCCATTGGATAAACATCCTGTCTGTTTTAGCAATCGAAGAACAGCATGTCCACTGTCCGAGTCACAAAGAAAAGTAAATACTTGTTTTAGCAGATGGTAGAGCTGCCAATAAGGATGAGAAACAGGAGATCTCACTTGTCAAATAGAAAGTTTAGATGTCTATTTCTTATCTCGCCGCTCTCCTACTTATTTCCTTCTGCTTTCTCGCACATTGTACATGAACTTTCTTTTTTTTTAAATTTATTATCATTACAAGTATTCCTTGGCGTGCGATTGGTGTTGCTGAAAGCACTGTCTCCCCCAGCCTGCAGGTGTGTCCTCTTCTGAACCCGGAGAAGAGTTACCGGGTGAGTCACAAAGATGCGATCCTCTGCTGGGCCCTTTCCCCCGACTGCCTCCGGCTCATCACGGGGTCGGCCGATACCTCTCTCAAAGTCTGGAATCTCGACGGAGGCAAACTCGAACAGGTCTCATGCTCGCTTCTATTAATTCCCGTGTTACTTTTAATTGGTTATACTTAGGGGAGGTGTTATTAATATATACCAAAATAGCGTATATGTACGTTAATTAGCATGTTACAAGTATCATTATTCTGTTGAAATTAATTTCATATACTATGCTGATGTTCCTATTAATTTTCTCCCTTTTTTTCCCCGTCGACTTCCGTTCATTTTGCGTCCCTAACGAGGGATCTTTAACTTGAGAGGGGAGGCCGATATTAAAAATGCCTTACGAAGCATTATTACCGCATAGTTTTCCATGATAACGTGGGCGTCCCCCTAATAAGCTCTGTTGCCCCTTTACACTCTGATTAGATCTCTACATTGGGGTGGCTTAAAGAGGAAAAGACAAAGCCAATAAAGTTTGATTAGCTCTAACGGTACATACAGTAAATAATGCATCTCTTGGACTGGGGGGATGGGGGGGGGGGGGGGGGAAGAAGGGGAAAGGGGAAG